GATTTGGTGTGCCCGAGACGCTGCTACGGATGGACTTTCCGCTGGACCCGGACTTCCTTATGGCACAGCGGGAGGACGAAGACATGGTATAAATCGTGCTTCCTCATCAGCCTCTCTCTCTCATCCCTTGAGGAGATGCCGCCATCTGTCGAAATCAGCGCCTCGATCTTCCCTCCTGCAGTCTCAACTCTTCCTCTTTCCCACTCCGCCTCCCCTTCCTATCATCTGTGCTGTCGCCTGCCTCCCCTCAGTTACAGCGGGGCTCTTCGAACAAGCAGGGTTCTGCTAAGGTTGGCATGGCTACGGTGACCTCGGCTTCTTGGAGAGCGGCGGAGTTGGAGGACAGTTTGCGTTCTCGAACGGATACATGGGATGTTATTGCTTTTTGCTTTGCATTTCTCATGGCGCTGCTTGCTTTCCTCTCCTTCCTAATCTTCATCTCCACACTTCCCCCGCAAAACCCAGCGTATTCACTTTCCCGGAATGACTGTGAGTGCAGGTTACCCCTCTGCAAACCCAGCGTATTCACTTTCCCGGAATGACTGTGAGTGCAGGTTACCCCTCTGATGAGTCGCGTGGCGTGCGATAAAAAGCGCTTTAGGGATTGCCACCCCCTCCTGCATGTGTTTGAGAATGACTCACGCTTGCACATTCACGGCTTATTTGCCTGGGAACAAGCACTCTCCACTACCCTCTCTTCCTCTTCCTCCTTCTCCCTCCACTCATCCCCATAGCGGCTACACGGATTGGTGCTTGGTATGGACTTGCGTTCCCGGAACTTGGATACGATTGAAATGTTTGAGCATTACCGTCATGGATTGACTTTACGATGAGGTCATGGGAACCTCTTTTTTGGATACTCTGTTTGTACGATGGTGTGGAAATTTCTCAACAGTGTGCTTCTATATATGTGCATGTCTTTTTTCTTTTTTTCTTTTTCCTTTTTTCTTTTTTCTTTTTTCTTTTTTCTTTTTTCTCACTTTTTTCTTTTCTTTCCTTTTTTCTCCCTTGGCCTCTCGTTTCTCACCTGCATAATAACATCTCCGTATTAATGGAGGCTCCAGGACCAGTATAGGTTGATAAGCCCTTCTCATCCTTCCGGATCGTCGGGCTTGCACCCGGCCACGGAGGCACAAATCTACATTGGTTCTGTTGATAATATCTTAGTTTGGGTGTTGGATATGCATACGAATGGGATGTTAAGTGAGGGGTGTGGGACGCTCGATCCCGGAAGCTCTGCATCACAACTTGTATGAATCCGACACGGCTATACTTAACTATTAGCTGGGGCAAATTAGGGATGGATGTGTTCCTAAAAATGATCCTGGTTTTCTGTTCAAATATTTCTTTGTCTTTCCTTTCAGCCTATTTATGTTTTTCCTTCAGTTATCTACCTTCGGACCGGGTATGATTCCGTGCAGGCCTTATGGCGGAAAAAACCCGCTAATGATTACGGGCTGGGGCATCCGAACACCACGGTCCTCCCCCGCCATTGACATGCACCCGTCCCGGTAGGGGGTAAAGTTGTTTGCCTGCGGACTGGGCACGATTCCGTGCAAGTCGTTGCGAAAACCCGCGAATAATTACGGGCTGGAGCATCCGAATATCACGATCCTCCCCCGCCATTGACATACACCCGTCCCGATAGTAGGAGCAATGGTTTACCAATTTTTGCTGATTTTTTGTTCCTTTTTTTATTATTATTATGGGTTTTTTAGAAGACGTGTGAGCAGAGTGATGGACTGTGGGATGGCTTCGATAAATCATAGCCGGCTGTGATCTACACTCTGTGATTAATACGTGATTTCCCTTTCAAGTGTAATTATGTCCTTCCGTTCAGCTGTTCGCCTGCAGACTGGGAATGGATCCATGCAAGACTTATGGCAGATAAACCCGCCAATAAGTACGGGCCGGAACATCCGAATACCACGGTCTTCCCCTGCCATTGACGTGCACCCATCCCATCCCGGTAATGAGAATAGTGGTTTGCAGTTTTTTCTGCCGTTTTTTCACTTTTTTCATTTCTTCATCATTTTTTCATTTCTCCATTTTTTCGTTTTTCCCCCCATATAGAGGGGATGTGAGCCGGAGGGTGGACGGCGGGATCGCTTTAGAAATCATAGTCTGCAGCGATCTGCCCTCTGATAAAGGAATTCTTCATATCTTGCCTTTCATTTTTTATTATTTTATTATTTTTTTACTTTATTCTAATTTTCTCTCTCCTGTCAAATATTTGCCGTCGGATGGAGAATGATTCCGTGCATGCCTCATGGCGAAATAAAGCCCGTTGATAACTGCGGGCCGGAGCGTCCGTATATCATTGTCCTCCCCTGCCATTGACATGCACTCATCCCGAAGCAATGGTTTAACGTTTTTTCTGCCGTTTACCGTTTATCGTTTTTTGTCTTTTTTCGTTTTCCATTTTTGTTTTCTTGATTACGTGTCCCGTTGGAAGTAGCGGATTGCGGGATTGCTTCGACAAATCGTGGCTACCAGCGATCTGCCCTCGGAAACGAATGCATGTCTTTCTGATTTCCTTATGCATGCTTGAATGAAGAAAAGTGAAGGGAACGCCTCCCACCTATGTCCCTTGGACCAAGATGCATACCGTCTCGAACTAGTCTGGCTACGCTTCGTGGTTGCCTAATGTACCCATGCTACCCCTTACCAATCCTCTCAGGTGTGCCGAAGCAAGTCATGCTTTGGAAAATGGTGGTGCATATTTTTTGTGCCATAACACGCTGTGTTGCAGCGTTACACACACATTACACACACACACAAACACACACAAACACACACGCACACACAGAAAAAAAAGAAAAAAAAAACGAAATGAAAAGCAAATGGCAGTGTATATTTCCATGTTCTAGAGGTAGATTCATTCGAGTATGCTGATCCTATCGATGCCCGCTGGGATAGACGAGCCACGAGGATGGAGACTTACCTCTTCTCTCTCTCTCTCTCTCTCTCTCTCTCTCTCTCTCTCTCACACACACACACACACACACACAGAGGAAAAAAAAAAAAAAAAAACATACACACACACACACACACACACACACATAC